CCAGGGTTCTTAGTATTGGTAGGATGTACTATGGGGCCCCAAAGGTGAATGATGCTAACTCTACCCAGGTAGGTCTGGGAATGCTTTCCAAAGAAAGTGACATCACAATAGAAAATGGAGATATGAGAAACCAGCGTTTTCCAAAAACTGCAGATAGACTGCATCTTGGGGATGAGAATGAAAGAGAGGTAAGATTTCTTCTACTAAGGAGGTTGGCCTCTATCCTGCAGGCACAGGGGAAAATGCAGAATTATGAATAAAGGAATGACAGGTCAGATTTACATTTTAGAAAGCTCATTCTGGAAGGATAGCAAAGGACTGGTTTAAAAGAGAGAGAAGCCAAAAAAATAAACAAATAAATAACCAGTTAGAGGAAAAGTCCTGTATTTGCAATGACAGAGCAGATGGAAATCAAGGGATAAAGTTCAGGCATACTCAGAGTAAAAAAAAAAAAAAATTACAAAATTTGAGGAAAATGTATTTAATAGGCAGAATGCCTTATTCCAAAGGAATGATACTGTACCGACTGTCTCCTACGGACCACCTTCAAGATAGCTAACATTTTTACAGACTTCAATCTATCTAAGGTACTACGAAGACATTCTCGAGCCTTTCAAGTTATTCTGATAACATTTCCCTAGCATACATGACTAAAAAGGCTTCAACTTTCCTAAAAAGTTGATACCACTACTTTCCTAAAAGGCGATACCACTGCTGATTATCCATGGATATGTCACTAAAACATAGGACTGAGTTGCAAATCCAGCAGGCTGGGAGAAATAATTCTGTAACGAATCTCCAAACAGGGGTCCAAAAAGAGAACAGCAACTACCGACAAGGGAAGAAGTAAGCAAAGTATTATGAGGGTAAAGTACTCTCGAAAATAACAAAATTTACAGGTAAGGTTCATCATATTCACTTTATTTTAATTTTTACCTTTCTTAAGCTAATTTCTTGAAGAGGAAACAAAATTAAAAACCACTGGGCTTGTCACAAAAAGACAAATATTGTATAATCCCACTTATGTAAGATACCTAGAGTCATCAAATCCATGCAGTGGGGAGAGTGAAAAGGGAGTTATTGTTTAATGGGTACAGAGTGCAAATTTGGGAAGATGAGAAAGTTCTGGAAATGGATGGTGGTGATGGCTGCACAATACTGTAAATGTCCTTAATGTCACTGAATTTTATAACTAAAAATAGTTACGTGGTCAATGTTATGTTACATACATTTTACCACAATTAAAAATCCTTTGGTTCATACTAAAAGCAAAACTTAAACCTCCTCAAAAAAATGAAAACAAAAACAACTGGCATATTTACCACTTTGTCTAAGCCTCTTCACATCTTTCTGAGTTTCTCTGTGTATTAATTTATATTCAACTTCATTCAAAAAGGATTCACTGGCCTTCTATAGAAATTATGTGGAATATGTAGAAGTCAAAGTGAGTGGAGAGTAAGGATAAGAAATAACTCTGCATACAGAAATAAAACAGGCAGACTGGAAGCCCGGCCACACGGCCGAAAGGTGGCCAGGCCACTGGGCTCTCTGTAGGACAAAGCAAAAGGATAAAGAAAAGATCACTCTAAAAATTCCCAGACCTTTCAGATAAAAATACACCAACACTCAGGAGAAGCTCAGCTTTTCCTGGAACTGAGGCCCGGGAGAAAGCTCTCCAAGGAGTGCTCAGTAAAAGGACCATGTATATCATACAGTGTTGACTCCACACCCCCAACACTGTACCAGAGCAGTATGGTTACTGCTGCTACTTCTATTCCTCGGTGAGAAGAGGAACGTCACACTACAGAGGGGAATACATTTTACAAGGTGCCTGCCTTTACATGCTAGTATTTGATTCTCAAAACAACATTAGGAGCTAGATATTATCATTTCCCTTTTACAGATAAGGACTGAGGTGTAGAGAAAGGGCGCAACCTTGCTCAGTCAATGGAAGAGCCAGTGGCAGTGCTGGAATAAGATTCCAATCTTTCTGGGGAAAAGGCTATATTTTTTAACACACCATTTCAGAAAGACGTCTCCTATGAAAAGTAACTGCCACCTAAAAGAGTTCACCGAGGGTGGACAATTAGGCAAATAAAACTTGACCCTGAGAGAAAAGCTTATGTATTCAACAGCCATTTCCCACGAGCACTTCATAAAATCAGCTTCCCTGGCTCCTCTGGAGCTAGTAGAAACACCACGACAGGTGATGGCCCATAAATGTAATAGTCTTTAGATTACCAAATTAACGAGAAGGGAGAAAATACACACAAGAGAACCCACAAGAAGCAGCCCTGGCGTCTTTAGAGGAACAAATAAAGGTAAACTCAATCTCACTTTGTAATTATATTATTAAATTTGTGGTTGGCAGTAGTACTATGCTACACCATCCAAATCTGCACAAACATTTACAAGATACAATGAATTGAAACTGCTGAAAGACTATCTAAAACTGAGAAATGGAAAACAGTAAAAGGATAACTTGAAAAGTCATGAAAAACAGTGTATCATTTTATATTTATATTAATTTTTATAGTTTCAATAATGATTTAAGGGAAATACTATATATATATATATATATATATATATATATATATATATATATATATAAAATGATGTAAATATAACCACAGGAGAAGCAGTTTACCTGATATCTGGCAAGTGAGCATGAGTAAAATGATCAAAATAAAGGAAAACAGACTTAATTCAGTTAGCAACATAGGCAGCAACAATATAAAAAAAATCAAGTAAGTTTCAACGTGGATAAATATATTTATTTGGGAACAAGGGTATATTAATTGTTCCCAATTGGCCCTACCTTTAAAAAAAATGAAATCTTGAACCTTCCAAAAAAAGCCAAACCACAGTTCCCATGATAATGCTGCGCATAGCATGGGAACTTTGCTTACAGAAGCAACTGGGCTAGGGAAGCTTTTTCTATTGCATTTAAGAATTACAAAAACAAAAAAAAACCCAACTACTGACACAACAGATCAGACCTATAAGACATATATGTAAAGTGATCCAGACTGCACAGCTATGCAACAATGGCAGAAACTTAGAAAGCTGAAAGAAGCTAAAATAAAAGTGGGTTTAAAAAAAATGGGCAGCAAATGATAGATTTTGTGAATTACAATCATATGACAAAAAGAGAGGTCATTAAGATATGAGATGATGCACAGAACAACGCCGTGCAAAGCAACAGTCTCTATAAAATGTTGATAAGAAAAACCCACCTGGAAGAGATACAGTGGTAGAGGCAGTGCTAAAAATAAACGCAATAGATTAAATTGCCATAGGGAAAGAGAAGAAGATATTGAAGGGCTCCAGGCACCTGTAAGGTGCCGCATTCGTTCTCCAGGGTCAGCCTTAGGTCACTCAGTATAAGCTGGGAAAGAGCACTGCACAGAAAACCCTAAGGGTGACAGCAGCACTGAGCTATTATTCGCAGTGCAGGGAAGAAGATTTTCTTACATTTATCTAAACAAATTGCTTCAAAGGCATAACGGTAAGTATGATTCTGCTGATCTCAACATGTTCACTCCAATATTCTAAGGCAGCAGCAGAAACACCTCGGAATATAGAAGTAATGTCTTCATGAACGAAATAAAAAATGCTCCACGTAAATTACTTGCGGAGGGGTGTAGGGAAGGAATGAGAAACTACTAGAAAAATGGTAAGGGGAGACCGATTGATTTTTTGCTGTTGTCCATACCCACCCCACCCCCAACCCCTAAGCCCTGGAGCACCAAAGCGCATCTGCTCTGAGTCGGAGTTTATTAACAGCAGGTCCCCCAGTGGGAGAAGCCATTAGGCTCCTGCAGCAAAGGCTCCGCTCTGTAAGGGGATATAAAATCTCATGAAGAGAGGTTTCATTACCACTCTTTTCATAAAACATGAAATCTTCGAGTTCTAGGAAAATATTTTTTAGAGCTATGAATTGCCCAGCAACCATATGAGTGCCATGGAATTCATCAAACTTTTACTTAGTATATATTTTGAGCCAAATACCATACTAGCCAGTATACTAAAAACAATGCAATGCTGCAAACATTTTCAAAACTAGACAATGTCGAATGATACTGCTATCAGAATTTTTAGGTTCATTCAAAAACATACCCTTTCAGAGACAAAAACAAGAATTCTGCTTGACGTAAGCTAGTTAATATGGAACAATATTAGCTGTCTACTATTTGCCATCCGTCTACCTTCGTGTCTCTCACTCTGTGAGGATGACAATTGGTGTACACGTTCCAGCCCAATCTTCCCAAGCTCATTCCTCAAAATTCAATGCTCCTCAAAGTGAAACCAATCTCTTTGGGGCCTTAGAACTTCTCCAACCTCCACTGTACGATTTTCAATGCACTGTTTTTCCAGAATAGCAATTGGCATAAAATAGAATAGGAAAAACCAGTTTAAACTGGTGTCTGTCTGTTCTCTCTCTCTCTCTCTCTCTCTCTCTCTCTCTCTCTCTCTCTCTCTCTCTCTGTCTCGCTCTCTCTCTCGCTCTTTCAATTCAACATAATCTTGTAATGCTGCTCTGAAAAATGTTACACACAGCCTACAGTCAGATCCTATTTCCTTTTATGAAATGTCACAATGTCTAATGTCTTCTCTTATTTGATTATTTCTAGATGGCATATTGGTGCAACTAAGCAAACCAGAGGTATGAGGTCTAGAGGTACAGAATCTTAGAACTACAAAAAATAGGAGGATTCTTTAGAAAACTCTAAAATCCAGAGAAGTCATATAGTTAGTTAATAAAAAATTCAAAAACATAATCTAGACGCACACACTTTTAGGCCAGTGGCCTTACCACCATCCCATTCTGGTTCATCGTCAGCTACTGATAGTAATTCTTGATCATCTTTTGTCTAAAATGTACAATCTTTGCAAACCTGATAACCTGTCAATTCTCAATACCTGAGTCTGAAGTCTTCAAAGGCTAGAAATGTTCTACTTTAAATAAGGGTCACACCAAGTCCTTTTATAATATTTACCTCTCATGGGAGATTTCATGGCAGCCTCCACCATCCCCACCAGAAGCTGGAGACTCTTGGGGTCCTGAGCCAGTCCAGACGCAAAGGCTGCCAGGGCATCGGCATGACGTCCGAGGTACTGGAGGGCAACACCCTGTCGGAAGTATGCCTGGAAATAAAAAAATACATAATGCATATTTTACTTATACACTGTGCTCCAACAAGTCTGGTGATGATTCTTTATTAGAACAAAAGATCAGCAGAACAAAGATTGAGATAATCTTGATTCAAACACCTGGTAAATACTGGGTTGTCGGAAAAGTCATGACGTATTTTTTCTATGTTTTTTGTTGCAAAAATGTGTCATGACTTTTCTGACAACCCAATAGTTCGCAATCAAATCTGATTTCTTCCAATATCATAAAATATAAACATACTTCTTTCAGGCAAATTATATGTTAAGCTTTCATTCTTTTCACTTTTAGAACACTTAGACATTTTATCACATTCTTTGGCATTTATTCACATATTGTTTATATTATTTTTTGATGATTTTAAAAATATTCCTTATCCCACTGTTAACAGTGTAAGCTCCTCAAGGACAGCAGTTTGGAGCTTTCTTTATATCTCATCAAAGTATGTGGTGCAGTGCAAGGTAAATGGCAGAACCTCACATTCCACTTATTTCATACTTTTACTCTTTTATATAATTAATGGGAAAAATCAATGTGTGATTATCATTAAGATAATTTTAATAATGAGTAACATAACATGGCTATGTTTAATGCAGTATTTCAGACATAATATTTACAAGCTGTTATCTAAAATATGTGTGCTTTGCTTATAAACAAAATAAGATGGTTATCATTGTATTCTTTAACTGGATTAATTTAAAAACTAGGATCATCAGCTGTGATAATAGGAGAATATCCCTCCTTCCAGCTAATTGCAAAAAAGGATCAGAAAATTTATAAAATATTTAAATTTTAGAACAGTCTTAAGAAAGTGCAGTTTGTTTTCAAGCACACAGAGTAAAAACAAGTAAATGAACAGTTACTAGTATATAACCAGCAAAGGACCTTGTACCTGACTAAATAACACACAAAATATGACACACTATTAAAGTATTCATTGCTTCTATGACAACATCTGCTTCTAAAACACTTGGCCTCCTATTTAACTTAAACATTCTTACAATACTACATGTTTATAACACAAATTTAACTTTTTCAGCCCAATATACTTTGAATTGCCAAACATTATATTCATAGGATCTAAATGAAGTTTCAAACAACTCCTAAAACTTCTACTCCCTAAATTTAATACATAATTTTTTAATTTTATATTATGTAAACATACACACACAGAGCACCTTTAATGTTTACAAAACACTTGCTTACCTTATCTTATTTCATTTTTACAACTGCCCTTTGAGGTAATTTAAGATAGGCAATACTACTAGGTGTTTGTGTTAAAAAACAATCCATAAACAGAATGGATATTCAGATTATTACAGGCTATTCAAAATTCTATTTGTTTAAACTACCAGCAGCTGTTAAAACTCATACCCCAATAAGACAATAACCTCTAAATGCATTTTCATTACTAATTCATATGATCACTTCCTTTCAAAGGACGCAGCCATTGTTTTATTTATTTATTTTTATTATTAGTTTCAGGTGTACAAAACAACATAGTGATTAGACATTTACACACCTCACAAAGTGATAACCCCAACAAGTCTACTACCCATTTGACACCGTACATAGCTATTCCGATACATTGACTATACTCCATATGCTGTACTTTACATTCTGTGACTATATATATTTTTTAAAATTATAATTGGCATTCAATATTATTTTATATTAGTATTAGTTTCAGGTGTACAGCATAGTGGTTAGGCATTTGTATAATTTATAAAGTGATGCCCCTGATAAGTCTAGTACCCATCTGACACTATGCATAGTTTTTACAATATTATTGACTATATTCCCCACACTGTATTTCACATCCCCGTGACTCTCCTGTAAATTGGTAAATTTGTACTTCTTAATCCCTTCACCTTTCTCACCCATTCCCCCAATCCCCCTCCCATCTAGCGACCATCAGTTTGTTCTATGTATCTATGATCTATTTCTGTTTTGTTTGTTCATTTATTCTGTTCTTTAGATTCCACATAAAAGTGAGATCATATAGTGTTTGTCTTTCTCAGTCTGATTTATTTCACTTAACATAATACTAATACCCTCTAGGTCCATCCATATTGTTGCAAATGGTAAGACTTCATTCTTTTTTATGGCAGAGTAATACTCTGTTGTATATTGTACCACAATTTCTATATCCAATAATCTATTGATGGCTCAGTCACCAATAGATTTTAATTAAACAGTTTTAATGTTTAATGTGTTTCATACACATTTTTCACTATTCTTTTCATCTCACATTTTAGGTGATTTCTATAATCCAAGAGGCAATATATACCACATTCCAACTAAAAATAACTATAGTTTGCTCAATTCTAGAAATGCTATAATAAACCTAAACTAAAAGCGTGTGTGTGTGTGTATGTATGTATATATATATATATATATATATATATATATATATATATATATATATATATATAAAAAATTCCAAAAACCTGTAAACTGTAATTATTATTTATGGAGAGAGACAAAAGATGTCTTTAGTTATTGATTTCAGGTATACATATTTTAAGAAACACAAAAATCTATTGTGGTAATCAGTTTACAATATATGTAAGTCAAAAGTATACTGCATACCTTTTACTTATACAATGCTATATGTCAATTATATCTCAATAAAACTAAAAAACAAAAATTTTAGTCTCAATGAAGCTTGACAATTTCTTGCATATTCAAAGCAAAACTTTATCATTCATTATTTCACTGAAAGAACAACTGAATTCCCTGTCTCCAACTGAAATCACTGAAAGATATGATTCATCTACTCCTTGGTAGGTAGGCAAAGTTGTGTTCAATGACAGTTATGGAACCAAGTTCACACAGCAATCAAAGAAGAGTGTGCATGTTTTGTTTTCTTAGGACACTCAGAAATTAGATGAGAAAAGGTATGGCTGGACCATGTCACCCACAATCTTGGCTTGTTTTCCTCAGAAGATTTTGAAAAGAGGTATAGGAGAGAAGGCTCAAAAATCTCCTTTGTCCTCCCTCATTCCCGTCCACAATCCCCATCCCAACTTTATATGATTTTTCTCAGTTAAAAGCTTAGAGTTATATTCTTGTCAAGATAGCATAATGACTCACGCTCTGACAAACCTGTTCCTACCTCACAGGGTTGGCTACCCCAACTCTCCTCCATGCAGTACTCACTGCATGTACAAAGAGCTGTTGAATAAAAATCAGTTATCTATATTTCTGTGAGAGATATGCCATGATAGGTTCAAATGGATGATGATAAAACCTAGATTGTGGGTTATTGTGATAGAATAAAAAGAATTCACCATCATGCCTAACAAAGTAAGTACTCCATAAAATTAGCTATTTTGATTAGTTAATGAGAAAAGAATTATAACAAGAAAACATAGAGACTAACAGTATATAAGAGGAGTCCAACAGATATTAATATTTTATTATTCAGGAGTCCAATATATTATTATTCAATTCCTATCACTGCTTCACTCACTCCTTCCCTTGCTCCATAAAAGACTGTTGGCCACTGGGAAACTTACTGCTCTAAGGCTCCCAGACAAAATCTGAACCATCTGACAAAAGAAACTGGTAGTATCAGGTCTCAGGTGATGCAGCGGTCACCCACATAATCCCCTGCCAGCCTCCTCCAAAGCAAAGGTCAAGATGTGCTCAGATTCACAACTGTTTACCACAGCTTCCAGAAAATTGATCTTATCTGCTGTAGCCTCTCTGCTTCACCCCTCCTGGTTACTGCTACTCATTTTTCTCTTACTTAGTGTCACAGGTTTCACAAGAAGCTGCTTCACCTGGGAAAGGCACATATTTTGATCGCTTAGGATTGAGCAGAGGCAGTATATGTGCAGCATACCAAGGGAAGGTGAGGCCTATGAAGCAATATTAAACACCTGGTGCCCAGTCAACCTCAGAAATTACATTTCCCTGCCTCAGCACCCCTCCCCCCAGCGCATACACCACATCCTGGTCACTGGTCATGTAGCAGGTGGAGAAGGAAAGACAACATGGATTGAATATTGACAGCCCTACACCCTGAGAACAGCAGTTTTCGCCTGAAGCTTTAGCCAAGAAGAGAAACTTAGAGGGAGCTAGTTAATACACTGGATTAAAAACGGGATGCCTAGAGTCATTCATTTTGTTGCTGTTCATCACAAAGAACCCTCAGTGATTATTCAACATGTGCTACTAAATAATCTCACAAATACAACTGGGTTACAAGAATAAGTTTTCATTCCTTCCTCCCTTCCCTCAATTAACATTCCCTAAAAATCTATATATAGCACCAGGCACCGTGATGGCTACACCAAACAGAAAGAAAGTCAGGACTCACTCTCAAGGTGCTCAGCGTCTAGAAGGCATAGAAAAAGATATAAATGTCTTGACTGCTACCTGCAGTCACTTGTTACAAGCAGTAAGGTTTTCTAATATTTTACAGTAATAAAAATGTAACTAATGACCAAAATCTTTAATTTTATTTTTTAAATTAGTTTCAGGTGTACAACACAGTGTAATAGTTATACTTTTTACCCCTCAAAGTGACAATCCACCTCCCCCAGTGACCAAAGTCTTTATGCCCTGTTGTTGAAACTATTAGTGTCTGCTTTTTATTAAACGGAAATTCTTCTCACCTCAGAGGGTTTGCCATAGACTAAATGTTTGTGTCCCTCCAAAATTAATATGTTGAAACCTAATTTTCAATGTGATGGTATCTGGAGGTGGGGCCTTTGGGAGGTAATGAAGTCATGAGGGTGGAGCCCTCATGAATGGGATTGGTGCCCTTATGAAAGAGAGAGCTCCCTCTCCCCTTCTACCACGTGAGGACATGGCAAGAAGACAGCTGTCGATTAACCAGGAAGTGGGCTTTCACCAGACACCAAATATGCTGTCACCTTGATCTTGGACTTCCCAATCTCCAGAACAGTGAGAAGTAAACATTTGTTGTTTAAACCACCCAGTCTGTGGTATTTTGTTATAATGG